CATGCCATACAAAACAGCAAAGCTATGATAAGTGATATTATTATAGAAGCATCCTCAGGTAGTGTATATTCAAATTTGTTCAAATTTAGGGTTGCCAGTGTGGGACCACAATGAGCGATCAGAGTTTAACAGAGGAACACACAGGAAATAATCTTTAAAAATCTTCTGCTCAAGAACAGCAAAGCCATGATAAGTAATATTGATATGAAAGTATCTTTAGGAGTGTAAATTCAACCTTGTTCCCTCCATCCTTAAACTTTTTTTTTTCAATTCTATACTGATTTCTGCTTTTTTTTTCTAGCCAATGTGCTCAGGTACGCGATGTTGCCGATGGGCCTCTTATTTAATAGATGGCAACAGCATTTAGTTAAATTGTCACCATACGATTATTGTAACATTGTTCCAAAAACTGGGGCAACCGGGAGTTTGGTGGTCGGGGTATGCACACCAAAGCACTGTGAGACTAATATGTGATATGATAGACAAATAGCTCTATATTGTTTACAGTGTATTTTTTTTAATTGGTAAACCGCTTCTGTTACAACATTTCTGACAACCATAATGATTGTAACCACCAATATCATATCAGGGCAAAAACAGTGACTTCAAGAAATTGGTTTTCGGGCAAGATAGTCATACGGGGTTCTTGTCAAGACACAAAGACATTTGCCAATTCGACTGCAAGAGATAAGAAGGCATATTAGATATACTAGAGCCAGGTAGGTAAGAAAAATGTTAATACTGAGTGGTATATGGCAATTTTGCCTAGAGATGGATTATTTCACGTAAACCGGTGAATATTGACAAACGTTCAGTGTACAACTGCATTTGTACAGTCAAAGAATGCCAATATACACCAATATAAGTTCTATAACCTCTTTATTATAAAGGTAAATCATTTTCCCATTAATTGATATCAATCATTTTGATGAAATAACTAAAAATATATGAGATTTATTCAATATCGGTACTAACATTAAAAGTGTCAAATATCAGCGTCTGTCCTGGATGTGTTTAAAGTTACATTGTGAGTTAATATCGTGTGTTTATTTTAAGATAATTGTATCATAAAGCTAAAGATTTATGAGAAATATGAAAAAGGCGAAGTTTTGAGATCTCGACTGCACGGTAAAAGCAAGAAAAAACTGCAAAATGTAATTGCCGGAAAAAGAAAAGTTGTATCTATGGCGTTCTTGTTATCGTCAATGTCAACAATGTCAAGGTTACGATGTTTTATATTTAGCGTAAAACTTGTAAACAACATTGAATTAGAGCAATCAAAAGTGAGCAAAAAGTTGATGCTTACTCCTCCATGGCACCTGATCCCACCTCTGATGTCTTAGGTCCGTGTTTGCTCTGCTCCTATTTTGTAATGTTTAATGGACTTTTGAGCTCGAATACTGTTCGTTATCTTCACATATTTCATTCTAATCATCTTTTTGAAGATTATATCAAAATCCTCGGTTATCCGACATTTATATCAATGGTATTGACACCATGTTAACTTCTTCAACTTTTCTGTGCATGCGTACCTTAAGGAGGAAGAAGGGAAGCAAAATTTCTGTATTGGGGCAAACTAAAATTATTTTTACTCATATTTTTCTCCATAAAAGATTTTTTAGTTTCTGAAACCTGTAATTTTCTGAAACCTAATGCTTTCAAGAATTGAATTAAATTTGCTTGTGTCTTGCAAAAATTCTACTTTTGTCGATTTTCCTGCTTTCCCGTCACAGTGTCTCTTTAATATTACATCATTTCAATGACCCTACCAAGCTTCATGATTTCCTTATTGAGGTTTTAAATTCGGCTTATGAGCACTAATTATTAATGAATAATTTCGATTTTGTTTGAAAATAGACAAATCTTACCCTGTTGCTGCTACTCACCATAAGCGGTTGACAGACGAATTTTTTGTTAAAAGCTTCGCGTCCGTTATTGCATACTCGTATTGGTAATACACATTTAGCGTTAAAATAAAACGCTAAGATATTGAAGCCTAGAATTCTTTAGACTTTTAGTATATTTTAATAGAATAATTATTAGCTACACGAAAAGTATTTTTATTGCATGTAACAGAAAATAGCATAGCATCTGACTTTCTGATCTTTAGGTTTCATACACTTTTATCTTTATAACTTTTACTTATTTCGTGTAGGATGTTTAACATAGCACATTAAGTTTAAAAATAAATTATATACATGTACCATAAATTTCTTAATGCATTCTGCATGCATATCAACAAAAAATTTCCTGGTGTGACATTGAGTACGAATACTGTGTCTAAATAAAATATAAACACAATTTTATTTCAAGTCTTACTCCTACTCGATTCATAAGAGCGTGCAAAACATTGATCATTCTCTTTCTGAAAGAAAAAGACTTGAAGAAAAATTCATTATAAGGTATGGAATACAAATGTTTCATTCTGTAAGTTTAATTACATGTTTATATTTAGAATATATATATACAAAATAAGGAATATTTATTTCGGGGACAGCTAATATTCATACATTAAAGAAAGCTTGAATATTTGCTCAGTAAGAACAACTAAGTGTAGAAAAATGGGGTATCATTCCTAGCCCTACCAGCTCTTTCCATCCGCCGAATTCCTTTCCATTTTTCAATATTTTGTCCCACGTGAAACATTAGCTGACGATGGAATACTCAGTGTGTCAGAAGTATTGCAAGTTTTGCAATTTTTTGATAATAAACAGATACAAAAGACATTCTTTTTTAACATTAGCAATCGACCGGACGTATACAAAGGAAACGGTAAGTTATTATTCATGTAAACTGCATATGAAATAAGAAAGTATTGTCATACCATAAAAACTGATTTCAAACTATATATATATATATATATATATATATAATTATATATATATATATATATATATATATATATATATATATATATATATATATATAGTTGGTATCTCGAATATTGATATCTCGAATACCATAGAATACCATAGATATGTCGAAGTGATTAAAAGGTCCCAACCCCTTATTCTATATGTATTTTACCCTCGATATCTCGATATCTCGAATCTTCGGAACCTCGAATTTTTTTTCGGTCCCATCGAGTTCGAGATAACGAGGTTCGTCTATATATATAACATAGAGTGTTTCAGTGCCTTCGGAGGTGAACAATTGCGTTATCAATTTTTAATTAAGCACAATTCTATTTTTACGCATCATGCTACGTGATTTAGATGTTCCAGATTCGACTCTCGTTCCCGATGCCGCGTCTATGTTAAGATGTTTAACATAGGCAGAGACTGTGCCTTCTCCAACTGCCCTTCACAAGAAGTGAAGGTCTTTAGGATGAGACTTAAGAAACGAGATTCGTGTCGACTCGATAAAGACCTCTCACTGCTATGTTCCTAAACGTAATGCACAGGCATTTCATCTTATGCAGGTTGCGTCTCTATATGAATGAAAAATTCTCGAATGGGACGTTAAACAACAACCAATCTTTATAAATTTTATATCTGAGATCTGATACTCTCATCTTTTATTGCATGAGGAAGTCAATTTAATTGCACATTTTCTTGATGTATCAACGATGCATCAAATGTGAAGAGTACAAGTAAACATACTCAGAATGCCAATCAAACAATTCAAATTGTGAGTATAGCAAACGCAGACCTCTGAAGGCAACAGAGGTAGTATCAGGTGCCATGGAGAAGTAAGCATCACAACCGCCACGTGCCATTTGTCATGACCTGTAGACAATTACGTAATATGGAAAATAATTGTCTAACAGTTTTTATGAAAGACATGAGTTAGATTTCGACCTAATAAAAATTAGTTACTGTAATAGTTGAATATTATATTCTATATTTTTATTGTTCTCTCGCTTTTGTTTTGCATTGAATATCAAAAATGTATTCCCCATATAATTTCCGCTAGAATTCTATTTCTTTTCAGAGTCTAGAAATGTTTAACTTTATTGTTAAAGGTTTGCTAGACGTTGTAAATGAGCAGTCTAAAATGCAACAGAAATTAAATATAACAAGAAGAATATAGTTTTCTACAAACGTAAAATGCTAGAAAAATAATTTTAACTTGTTTTTCACAAGACTTTCTCACTTCATTGAGTGCGGATTGAAAACGTCTGCAAGCATCCTTCCGGGAAAAACACCCCACTGAATCATTTTTATCTTGAGTAAATATCACAAATTCGCATCCTTCCTGAAATCACGTCTTTCCAGATTAGAGCTATTTCTGCACAGTAGCACATTGATGATTTAAAAGTGGCTTATTCAGCAAAAAAAAAAAATTCATTTTTATCAAATACAAGTATTTTTTATTTATTTATTTATTTATTTTTTTGATAAGCAATCCACTCTTGTAAAGAGGTCATACCTTGTCAAAATCAGTATCAAAATACCTTTCACAAAGATTAAACCATATGAGTTTTAAAATTTATATATAAATGTTAAAGAAAGATATACATGAATTAAAAAGAAAAAAAATCCTATTATTTCTAATTCACAAAGATTAATTTTTTAGAAGGTATGCATTTTACATTATTTTACATATAATCAATGTACACTTGTTTCAAATTATTTACGATTAATATAAGTTCCCTTAAATTTCACCTTGTATTTCTTGTACAAATTTAACCCCCCACCCCCACCCCCCCCCCCCCACCTCGAGCTCTCTATTGTTCCCAAGACATTAAGATCCATTGTTAAAACATTTAGAATCTGGTTTGTCTAATTATTTTATAGGCTGTACGTTGCTTGTTAGTATTTATACATGTATATAACTGGAAGCTAAAATGATGCACAATATTGTTAGTATTGTCATAATAGTATATTCACGTCTTTGTAGTACTTGTGCAGATTATTCGGAAGCAGGGGAGTGAAGCATCATGACCATGACTTTCGTAATGGCAGGTAAGTCTGAGGTTTTAAAAACGAGGCAGATAATATTGTTTTTACACACTTTCCATGCAGTTTTTCTGAATCCGATTTTTTTTTCTTAGTGATTTTTAGAGGTACATGTTTAACCTTCATTTTGATGTGCAGGGAGATCCAAAGTTACGACAGGTAACTTTATTTAACACGTTGCAAACATACATGTATTATAATGTTAATGGTAAGGGAGATGAATTGCTTTCATTATTTTACAGCTAAGAAAAGCAATCGATTTTAGCTGATGCTTTTTCTATAATTTTTAGAACATTGGAAAATGAAATGATAGTTTTTTTCGAGCGTATTCAGACATCTTTCACTGAAACACTGACGAACTTGAAGGAGTATTCAGACAGAAGGAACATTTCACATGTAATTACTGGGAGCTGTCGCAAAAATGGTGAAATTCTATTAATAAAACTCAATTTCACGATGACAATTCTAATGAACTCTCATGAATTGATCTCTTTCTGTTATAGAATTGAAGTAAAAATCTCAATAATTTCCGAAAGCCTTCGTAATTTAATTGGTAATAAAAGATTTATTTTTTCAGATTATCTTAAAAAATACATGCGTGGATATAAGCAGAATGATTCTTCATATCATTTGACTATAGAAGAAAACAGAGACAAAAACCTGAAGACATGCATTTATGATAAAAATACCACTTCCACATTCAATGATATTATTGGCATATGCCTGAAAAGACTTCCACTATCTAAGATAAAGCCTGCTGCAGCTAAAATATTGGGCATTACCCCCGACACAAAGGGATATCGATTTGACTGCAATTTAATGATACGAAATTTACAGCCAACACTAACAACGGTAACAGATTTTACTGTTACAATGGAAGTTAAACGGACTCAATACTTACAGGTACATTAATAATATTAATCAGATTGAAATTTGGTTTAAGTTTATTATCAATTCAGCTGAGACAAAACTCGATAAAGCATTTCTGACCAAAGTTTGTGAGCTTCAATCATATGTTTATCTGTGTGTCTACTTACTTTTCATAGTTACTATTTTTTTTTCTCCAGAAAACCCTAACAAAAATACTATAGTAAACTATATAGCTTACTATGGTAAACTATAGTAAATCAAAGTTTCCAAAGTGATCACTATAGTGCCAAAGTAGTCACTGTAGTAAATCAAAGTTTTCAATGTGATCACTATAGTAATTCAAAGTGGTCATAGTTATCACTGTAGTGTCTTAGTGATCACTATAGTAAATCAAAGTTTTCAAAGTTATCACTATAGTTAATCAAAGTGTCAAATTTATCACTGCTGTTAAAAATTTTCACATTGTTAAATTTATCACTGTAGTTGGCTATAATAGACTATAGTTCGTTTATTATAAGAACTGATACGGTGTTTTTGATCTCTTCTTAACAGCCTCTGCACATAAAGGAAATTTAGCTACTGTAGAAATCAATCTAGAAATTGAAAATTGCTTTAGACTTTCCTACTCCTCTCATTTTTTTCCTCAGTGAGAAGGGGGGGGGGGGGGGGGGGGCTGGTGCGGCACCACCACTGTGAACAAAAAAAAATTTAATAAAGAAAACTAAAAAGAAAAGAAAATATAGGGACAGCTCTTATTGTTTCTGCGGGTAAGACCCTTTTAAGCAAGATTTTGTTGAATAAAATCAATCTTGCGCTGATTGTAAGACAGTAAGACAAGGATAAATGAAGATCCATACATGTCTTTCACTTATGACTGTGACCCACATCATGTGGCTGGAGGAACCGGGGGTGGGGCACAGAGGGGATTACTATAGATTACTATGGTAAACATGCTTGTGCCCCCTCAATAAAAACGTCTGATGACCTTTTTTTTTTTTTTTTTTTTTAGTTCCTCCTCAACTGTCAACTGAAAATGTATGGTTGTGTCCCCTCCCAAACTGAACTGAATTTGCTTCCTACGGGCCTGCACGTAACAGCAATATAAATGCAGCTATACTCTTTTTAATTTTTATATAGCATAAAAACCATTATGTGCAATGAAATCGAAAGTGGGAATTTTACACTATAGTTAAGTATGCTAAAAACGAATATTTGCTCAAGTTTAATTATTTTGTACATTTACATAAGAAATAATCATATAATTTTCGCAGATTTCTATCTTTACAAATTCCTTGCAGTAAAGATATTTGGGAGAGAAATATTCGAATATTTTGCAAGAGAAGGGGGGGGGGGGGTCTAGCAAATATCGATAAATATATAATAATGAACAGGGCTGATTTATTTTCTGCTTTAGCCTTAAATTAGTGATTTTTCACAGATTTTTCTTTCTTAAGAATATTTTTTTTGAAATGTATTCCATATTACTCCAATGAAACTCACATTTAGGACGACAATGTTTTGATGAGTTCTGTTTACTTCATAAACCATTCTGATAAGTTGCGACACCCCTTTTCAATTAATCTATAATTTTCTATGTTTCTGTTTCGTAAACGGCGTTCAAATTATTGTTACAAATGAATAAATGGATTAGAAACAAGTCCTTCCAACTTTTTACTTCCTCCCTTTTCCCAAATCATTTAGAACTTTTATATGTTAAAATACTCGCAAGTTCAGGATCTAAGAATTTCACATTAAAAGTCTATTTCCATTTAAACAATTTTTTTTTGCAATTACTTCTATCCAGTTTTTGAATTACATTGTAGTTCTTCAGTTTAGAAACATTCGTTTTAAGATCATTTCAGGTATCTTGTCGTTTTTTTTTCTGATTGCCCCCTTCCCCACTTTGAAAAACAAACTTCGTGCCTGGACGCGCATTTCAAAGATCAGCTAATATTTGCAGGCGTGTAGGAAAAAGTCCGGAAAACTAAGTTGGACAGGCTATCGTCCTTTGAAGCAAGTCCTATGTTTTATTAACGATGTTCAATACTCAATACTTACATGTAATTAGGAGCGATGCATCGCACAAAAATGTGTTCAAGGGATAGAAATACAATGTTCCTTCTTAAAAATTATAATAGCATAGGGACCAGGTAGAGTGAAAACTTTCCGAGACAGTAACACAGGTTATTTTTACTGTACATGCATCTATAATATTCAATCAGTTAAACACGCAGTTGCCATCAAGACTGTGATGTGAAATCAATTTCCAACTGTTCTTAATTGTCTTAAATTAATTATGAAGTTTATTAGTAAGATAATAAATGTCTATCCCAATTAATACTAGTTTTAATTCAAAGTCACATATGTAAAATCGCTCAAGGTAATTTTTCCGCCCCACGACGTTACGTTTCAAAAAATGACGTTCTTCTAGCATTTTTCTTTTTCAAAAAAAATATAATCGATATCGAAAAAAGAAAAACGGCAAAGAAAAGCTAAAAGTATACACTATCAATCGACAAAACCCCGTTACTTTTTGAGACAGGGCCATTTTTGATGGTTCGTGGCTCTTGCTCATTGAAGTGAGAATTTCCTTACCGAGTATGAATATAACTTTTATCAAATGCGATGTAGAATTGGTCAAAAAAAGTCAACATTTGAACTGACAGCCTGATAGGAATAATCTTTATAATTCTTTAAATAGCATTATAAAAGGGTAGCTGTATTAGGCTATGTAACTATTTAAAATTCCCTATGAAGGGATTCACGTTCGTTCAAGTTATTTCCCCAAGTTTGTGGTTTGCCCACAATACTGGGTGTTTTGACATGTGAATTAAAGGGGAAAATTGAAGAAATCCTCTGATAAACAGTTAAAACAAAATTAGTGAAATTAACACGTACAAAGGTGTTTGTCAACTATCAGTATTGATTCATGATAATTCAATGAAATAAGTGAAGGCAATGAACAGTGATCGATCTAAAAAAAAAAAAAAAATACAAATAATACAATTCTGTGAACAGGGCATAAAACAAAGATCTTTCGATATCCCGGAGGTGGGATCAGGTACCTAAGAGTAGTAACATCCACTGCTGATCATTTTCTACTTTGTTGAAATCAAGGACTCTGGACAAGTGGAGCAACATCTGGGGTCAAATTAACGTAGAAAATATAGGCATCGTCTTTTCACAAAGCAGTGCGTTGAATAGTCTCATTGATGTGGAAGTATCCCATTTTGCACTTTGGACATTTTAAAATTCATATTTGTTCAAACAATGGCCCCTACGATTGGGGTGGGACCAAAATGTTTTGAAAATCAACATAATATAATGGGAAAATCTCCTTTTTTAAAGATTTAAAGAACAGAGGGGTTATAAATACATGAACTAAGATTTGATTTACAATTATCCCTAGAGTCGCGGAGTAAGGAGTTGATCCTTACGTTGCGGGTTCGAATCCCACTGTGGGACGTGGAGACCGGTCCTTCGGATGAGACCGTATAAACCGAGGTCCCGTGTCGCAGTAGGTGCTGGCACGAAAAAGATCCCTCACCGCTCAATGGCCGTAAGTGCCTAGTATAGGACAGCTCTCCAGCGGCAAGTGGTGGCGTCTTCATATGAGTGAAAAATTCTCGAGAGGGACGTTAAACAACATACAAACAAACAAACAATTATCCCAATTTACATTTGTAGTTTAATTCTGGTCATACCTCTTGGACTGGAGTTGAGGGGCTTAAATTTTCTCCGATTAACAATTTAACAATATTAGTCAAAATGATTTACATCTACCACACTTGTATTAACGTGGATTTCGTTTGTCGCAATGTACCCATTGAGCAATTTTTTATCATACCATAGATACAAGAAGGAATAAATTTTAAATACTAACTATAGGACACTGCTATTTTGTTAAGATTCACTTCAAGGTCTTATTGAGGACTGTAGTTTTCTAATGTCGAAATTACTGTGAGAGTATAACTTTCTACATGTAATGATGAGTTGAATGAAAGTAAGTTATCTGAATGTGTTCGCCATTTTCCTAGTTCTATGGATAAATGTTACAGACGTTCAAAATTTATAACTGATCTTTAAAATTGATTTAAATCAATGGTATCTTGAGAAATTTGATATATTTTTAAGTTGATTTAATGTATCCATGCCTATTTTTCTATAGTAAGATTGATTGAATTCGAAATCTTAAATTTTTATCAATAGCTTGCTTCGTTTTAGAAATTGGTCTATATATGTAGTACATGCTCTTGAATCAAACTTGTCATCTACAAAAATTTTATGCTAAAAGCATTGTGCACACAATAACTCCAAAGTTTATATAAAGATGCTGGAGTTCTTCATCGATAATAGTCTTTGGAGACCAGGTTTTCCAACAATCTGTTAAATTTCCCAAGGATATTAATCGACAATATGCATTTGCATTCTTACTCAAAAACTTCTTCAAGAAAAGATGAAGTATCTATAACTGTGGAATTCAATATATTGACGATGTTTTATCAATTAACAATATTCATTTCTCCAACTGATGAACTTAAAGACAACACAGAGTCTGACACACTTGTTTCGTAAGTGGGTGTTTAACTAGAAAAAGACATTGATGGCAAACTAACAACTAAACATTATGATACACGTTCGGACTTCAAATCTGCTTTCTTCAATTTCCCTTTCTTTTTTTAATAATCCATCACCATCTGCGTATGGCTTTGCGCACTATCAATTACTGAATCTAGCCAGGACACTTAATGAGAATTAGGTAATATCAATTACCTTTTAATTCAACATTTTGCAAGAATTTTAATGTTTATAAGACCATTGTTATAATTCTTATTTGCCTATTGATTTATCCAATAAGAATGAAAATTTTTCTCATAAGTATGAAAAGGGCTAATTCATTTATGTTACCAGATCCCACATGTGATGTCTCCAATGGTCAGTGTTAGCTATGCTCTGAATATGTCATTTTTTCTTGGATTTTGAGTTTCATAATTGTTTGTTATCTTCATATCTCATCTCTCTTTTATTTTATTGCAATTACCCCTTTGCAAACAATCTGTGTATTGTTTGTGTTTTGTCAACATACACTTATTTGGCAATTGTTATGGATTATTTTTAATTTCAGCGCAGCACTGGTAATGCGTACTATAAAGAAATCAACAGAATATAGACGTGCACAAATAGATACCTTTTTAAACTGAATTTATTTTTGTAAAGCTCTTATATTATCGTATGACTTAATTATTAACCGAAATAACATTTTTTCCCCACTCTGTTTTAAATTTAGTTTGCTCATCTTATAAATTTGGCCCCGCCCCTTTATGTGGCCTTAATAGTGCTGCGTGGATAAACATTTTTTTGTATTTTTTTAAGATTTAATCACTGAAAAAATATTTCATTTATTGAGAAATATTTCCCTGTATTACAAGTATGAACTATCAATGCATATTTAAACACTATTATTTATGTTTGGTAGAAAACAATGCCAGATGGTGGTTGGTTTTTATGTGGTACAGCAGTAGGAATTATAACTTCCTCAGCTATTTTCTGTGCTGTTTGGAAACACTCTACCTATAAGAACAGGTACAATGTAACATGTCGTTTTGCATTTGCAGTTATCAATGTACAACAATTATACTTTCAATTAAATTATTCTTGATTTAATGTTTATAGGCTGAAATGAATTTTGATGAAAGTACTGCACGCAAATATCCAAAGAAATATTTGATATTTGTAGGAAAATTGAAAAACACAGGAAAAATACTACAGAAGAAGCCATAGCATCTGTCTATCATGATATTGACGAGTATGAATTGATGGTAATATTAAAAGTTTCCACAACACATTTCATATCTTTGACGATACATTTTCTTTTTTTTTTCTCTGTCATCAGATCTAGAACTCCTATAGATTGAAAGAAAGCAATTCATTGTTATTTTTAATCTTTCTAAAAAAAAAAATATGTAACACGTTCTTAATTGTAGCATTAATAGCCTTGAAATATTTATGGATTATATTAGGGGTATCCATATGTTAGGGGTATCCATATATGCATTATGCATTATGACAGAACCAAACCAATAAAGTATTTAAAGAAAAGAATTGAGCTGTAGGGTAAGTTAACCATGCATCGGACACATACCTTGCTTCGGACAACTTTAAGCAATACTAGACTTTCATTGAACCTGAGTCTCCCCGTGTTTTACTTGTTTCTGTCTTAAAGGTGAAGATTTAAACTTTTTAATGATGCCGAGTTCATGTTGTGATAAAAATACCACACGAATGGCCTTAAAATTACGTCATATTTTGCGTCATCAAAGGGGAGTAACCAGAATTGGACGCTTTTGCAATTTTAAGAGTTGTCGTTCTTTTAAATAGACTTCAACGGAACGAGTCGGGCCTAGGTAGAATTTGTCAATGCCTGATAATTTTAAAGAATTTTTTTCAAAAATTTTACTTCAATGTTTGTATAATATTTTTTTAGAGTTGTTTTTTTACTCGTATGTTTATTTCACCGTACATCGGACACAAATTAACCGTGCATCGGACACTTTCCGATGCATGGGTAATCACTTCCATTTTCATATAAAACCCAAATGACAGCTGTTCTTTAAGGAAATAGAAAATAAAAAACTCTAAATTTTCAGTGAAAATACAAATTATCGATATATGACGACTAGAAGTGGACTCAATTTATTTCTTTAACTAACCTAGATTATGATAACCCACGAGACAAAGACGCGAGTTGCCATATTACTAGCATTGTAAAGCCTTTCTGAGGCGATGTGATGCAACTAAAATCTCTTCACATTTGTGGATCGAAATAGTCATTTAAATTTAACTAGAAGGTTAATTTTTAAATTAAAAGTTAAAAATGTTTCGATATCGCTAATTTTTAAGAACCGAGATCAAGATATGACATTTTTCTGATTTAAATACCGTATGTCCGATGCATGGTGAATATTGTCCGATCCATGGCGAATTCTGACTTATTCCGAAAAAATCGGTTTTAAGTGATATTTTCTCAATAAATAGCACACAATTGTGTCAAAAATTTATATTTTAACTACATACTACATGTTCCATTTCGATAATTTTCTGTCGGTAGCGATATCGCTAGAACTTGTTGAAGTACGAGGGTGTCCGATGCATGGTGAATTCAACTTTTAGGAATGTGAATTTTTAACTTCATAAAACTTTGATCAAGTTGTAAAACATTTCATAAACCATTTTGACACATTTTTCATTTAGCCCATCTATAGAGATACCGTAAAGAGAGAACGATTCATCAAGCCTAGAGACATTTTGCCTCGTACATGTACAATGCATACTAACAAATCACAAAGCGTAACAAAGGACGGTGATTCGAATATGGATGCAAACAAAGATATCGATGAGGAATATGAGAGTAGAGAAATGAAACACACTGAGCAGTCTAACGGTATCGTGGATTTTGATTGTTACAGACAAGACGATCATGGATTGACCATCAAACTAGAGGAAAATAGGGAAAGTGATCCTTACTTTGTTTTGGCAAAAAGAAAATCAAGCATAAAAAATCCCGAGGAATTTAAAGATCAAGATCCAGAACCTGACAGTGAAACTGTTGATGTGAAAGTACATTTTTCTGATTCTTATGGTGGTCCCACAGACACAAGAGAACAGGGTGAAGGAATTATCACTGAGAATAAGACTTCTCTAAGTGATGACTGCGATGACAAACACGATGATGATACATACTTTGTCATTGACTCTACGCCATGTCCAGCATGTCCAGATATATAAAGGAAAATCTTGAACTGTTTCATTGCTTTTTTTTTAAATTCACAAGTCCTCAGGACGTCGTCTAATTGAGTTTAACAGGAACATTCTATAAAAAAAAAGATAAATATCTTTTCAGATATAGGTGATTATTTTCTACACACAGGATTTGTACTTTATCAGTTAGCTGGTTCAATCTATAACTAACAATAAATTACATAACAATGTTCTACATACCATTTATATGAAGACACTTTTTCAAACAAAAAAAGATGTTTAAAAATCCTTGTAACGAATTTCTTCTTGGGCTTCCTTTTTAAATTGCTAAGGCTTTTATGAAACAAGATACCCATGGACCTTAACGGTCACCTGAGTATTAGCCCTTTCACGATATATGCGGTACTACTCTTTTGCAGGGCAAATTGATAACTTTTGGCGAAGTTTTTGTTAATAGTAAATTAAATGACGTATTTTAATCAATTGGCTTTACGTCATATTTCAGCAAAATATACCATTTTGCCCTGCAAAAGAGTAGTACCGCAGTTATAGTGAAAGGGTCTATCGTGAGTTTTTTTCAGGTTACGACCACTTTGGGCCGGACTGAAACTGCCTGAGACTTATATCACAGACAGTTTACAGTTTGATAAGAACTCTTTATTTGATCTCATATTTATGCAGCTTGCCTCCTATTTATCCAAATGTAAATTAAATAAATAACATTGTATAATTAATTTCAATATATATGTATGACCCCCGACCCTCCGTCATGCGAAAAAAATTATAAAGATTTGTTTCATATCCCTTCATTGATCCCACATTGTGATCCCATCGATATCCTCCTCCAGGACCATTATTAGAAAAAAAAATAATTTGAATTACCTGAGGATGCTGGCATATTATGACCCTGCTGCTCTCAAGAAGAAAAATATTAAAGATTTTTCCTTAATGTTCCCATGTAAAAGATTTATTCCTTCGTGTCGCCCCTAACCATCTGCGGGGGGCCTGATTTGAACAAAGTTGAATCTACACTACATGCGGATGCTACCTTATTAAGAAGCCTAACCATGCTCTACTGTTCTTTAAAATAAAATCTAAAAGATTTTTCCTAAATAATCCTGTATAAGTTTTTATCTCTATTTGGAAATGTACTCTGATTGGAAAAAATGAATCAGTCTTACCTGAGGATGCTTGCACATTTATACGACTAATCATTGCCCTGCTGATCTTGAGAGGATATTAAAATAAATGTCCTATATATTCCCTGTAAAACTTTGATTCCTTATTGTGGCCCCACCCTATCCCCAAGGGCATTTTGAAAAAAAACACTTGAATTTGCACTAGTTACCTGAGGATGCTTCAATATTAATATGACGTATCATGTGCCTGCCGTTCCCGAGAAGAAAATTTTGAAGAAAAAAATATATTTTCATGTAACTTTCGATCCTTTTTAGTGACCCCATCCTACCCCAAAGGGTCATGATTTAACAAACATGGATCTACATTACCCGAAGATGCTTCCATAATAATATGACCAGTCATGGCTTTTTTGTTCCTGGAAGAAAATGTTTAAAGATTTTTTTGATATTCCAATGTATTTTGATTGCAGTTGTTGCTCCGATCTTTCCCCAGGGGGTAACCATTTGAACAAACTTGAATCTACAATACCTGAGGATTCTTCAACATATATGATTTATCATGGCTTTACTGTTCTTGAGAAGATTTTCAAAGATTTTTCTTCTATATTCCTATGTAAAACTTTGATTGCTCAATGTTACCCCACCCTTACCCATGGGGTTATAATTAGAAAAAAATCCACCTGTGGATGCTTCCGTATAAATATGGCCAATTTAGACACTGCAGTTCTTGAGAAGATTTTAAGAGATATCATCCTTTATATTCCTTTGTAAAGCTTTGATCCCGTTTATGGCCCAACCCTATTCCCGGCTGCAGGGCCATGATTTAAACAAATTTGAATCTTCACTTTGTCAGCAAGCTTACATACATGTGTATAAGCTTCAACTTTTCTGACTCAGAGGTTCTTAAAAGGAAGAATTTAATAAACAGCTCTCCACCTTATTTTTGCCTTTTCCTTGATTATCTCTCCTTGAAAGGGAGCACTGCTCTTCATTTGAATAAACTTGAAATCACTTTACATGTACCATAAGAAACTTTGTGGCAAGTTTGATTGAAATTGGTCCAGTGCTTGAGAAAAGGTTGCAAATGTGTAAACGTTTATGCACGACGCACAGCGGTACAACCGCACATTCGCGCGACGAAAAATACATTGTAGCAATAGCAATATGTTACATAACTGATTCAGATAACCTAAATTCAGATAAAATAGCTTTTCTAATAACAATTTGTACTTTGTTCGCTCCTTGGATACAAAGGAGCAGAAAAGAAGAGTTTCAAAGAAATAATGCATTTTTAATATACCTGTAGAAGCATCCTCATATCAATTACGCAATCAGTTTATCATCTGCTTATACACCTACAGGAGCAGAAAAGATTTTTTTCACAATTAATTCTATTTTAATTAATTATAGAGAACCTTAGAACCAGAACCTCTGATCCAGGCGCCAAGAATTTTCTTTTTTAAGAGGCATCCTGGCTCATCATAACTATGCATCTAGTTTGTTAATATCGAGAGAGGAGAAGAAGATTTCAAAGAGATAATACATTTTCACTATGTAATAAAATATGGAGATAACGAACAGCATTCAAGCTCAAAGTCCATTAAAACAATACAAATCGGGAGGAGAGCAAATATGGACCTCCAAAACATCAGAGGTGGGATCAGGTGCCACGGAGAAGTGAGCTTCCCCTGCGGACTGGTCACACCTGCCGTGTGCTCCTTGTCATGATCGGGAAAAAAACGAAAAAATCCGTAGACATTTTAGTGTGTAAATAATGGCCTATCAATTAGTATGAAAAATGTAAGTTATATGTAGCATTTGACTTAATGATAGGTTGTATTTACTGACAAGGTCATTTTATCAACTATAAAACTTGCGAAATAATGACTTCGATCGAAACTGTTGATATTCCTGTTTCATCAACTTGTTTGTCAATAGCTTGCTTCTTTTTAGAAATTGTTCGTTCGTAGAGCATGCTCTTGCATATTGAATCAACTGGGAGACGAAAACCCCATATGCAGGTGATAAGGGTATATTGCAACATATTAAGTAAGGGGAATTGACAATTGAAATATTGAAGTCATCAGGTTTATCATAAAGCCTTATTGTTAGGTTTCTTTTCTTTTTAAAAGAATATATGCTTCTCGCTATATATCCCTAACTCCAGAACCCCTGACTCTGGGGTCATGAATTTCAAAGTTTTAGTAGAAGGCTCAATGTTTATTACAATCACGCCAACTGTTTGACTGCTTGATGTTCATGGGTATGGAATTTTTCTTAATTATAACACTAATTTTTATGAATTTAACACCATCTATCACACAGGGAGCTAAAATTACAATTTTGTACCCCGTCACCCAGTGATGCTATATGTCGAAATTGGTTGAAATTGGCTCGATGGTTCAAGAGAAGCTGAATTTGTTCAAAACGATTACGAGCGACGCACAACGCACGTCGTACACGCACGACCACGGACGAAAACAAATAGCAATAGGTCACCTGAGTGACTCAGGTAATCGATGTACTTATTGCGACAAAGCTTCTATCTAAAAATTATCGAAAGTTTGCTTTTCAAGATTTTTAGAAATTAAAATAAATGTTTAAGATCAAATCCTAAGAAAACGTCTGCTTTAATATCGCGGACTTCGATTTTAAGTTTGTAGTTTTTATTTAAGACAGAATATCTGGGTGTACTTACCAAATTATATAATATCTACATACATCTGTCTGCAAAATCGCCTCATATATATTTAAGCAAAGATGTAAGCGTTATCGATATCCTAACCAAAAAGTAAGCCATTTAATAAATCATCTATACATGAATGTGTCATTAAAGAATACATAAACTTATTCTGATTCCATCATTCAAGGAGCATAAAAAATGATGCTGATTTTAAATATCTTTCTGAGCGACCTTTTTTTCCCTTTACATGATTGCACTTTCATTTTAGTTGAAGATAAAAATTTTATGTTCGATATATATCCCTATTATCTTCTTCGTACATTCTAAGTTGAACTAAAACTATACACGATCTATTAGTAAAAACAGAAAAAGTGTGTATCTTGAAATTAAATGTAGAGATTACCTTCTGTTTTTCAGATGTCTGTTTTGATTGATATAAACATTTCTAAAGAAAGTTTTATTCAACATTTTTTAACTTCCTTATCTGTCAGAAAGAGGGATTTTGTTATAAAGACTGTCAACAGTACTGAATAAAATTTGCTTGAGAGTTCTTGCATGAGAAAAAAAAACTTTCAAAGTTGAATTTATTACCGGTCTTTTTTAGCATTTGTTGGTTAAATCTTAGAATACAACACAGTGATATCCTGAACATTAACCATGATTGATAAAACATAATAATGTTTTAAAAATGATAAAAGAAATATTTAGTTTTGTGAAAGAAATTTTATTTTCATACTTTCAACCAATCAGTGCAATCCTGAAAATAAAAAAAAATATTTGAAAATTGAATGTCAAATAAGAAATCATCATGTATTTAATTGACTCTCGTTTATTTGCCTATTCGTTAACAATTAACAGTTACTGTCTTTTAAAAAAAGATTATTTGTATCCGTGTGCATGTGCTGGATTCGAAATATTTTTTTTTTTTTGTATTCTAATTGGTCCAATGTTATTACTGTCATATTTTTAATGTCATTGAAAATACTGCACGTTCTCAAAATTATTTAGGTTGCGATTTATACATAAATTGATTGTTAAAAGTGTATCAGTTGAATAAGGGTTTCCTTTTTTTTTTACATTGGTAAGTAAATAAGACAATTCCTATTTTTTACACTACATAAAATCTATATGTTATTTAGCCATGCATCATTAACTATAAGTACATCTAGAATATCTGTCGCATGCGCTAATTACAATAGTTTATGAATACTCAAACCTTTTTTC